TACTCAATCCTTTTGTAAACTGCCAAGGGAATAGATCGCAAGACGTTTTAACCTTGCTCGACAAGGTGAAATCTTGCCTGACTCTCTTTGTTTTGCCTTTCCATTAATAGATTTAATATTATAATGTATTCCTCAGTAGATATGCAAGTCATTTTTGGTCTCTTAATGATCTGAAGTTCCATTAACTCTCAAATCTGGTTCACTTAGTACTTTTACTATCGTGAAAGTAAAAGAAACTGATGTTTTGATTATATTTGGACCTCCACCCTTTGAAGCATACAAGATAAACAAAAGTCCTTGATCTCAAGGCATAAAAAAGAACTTAATGTGGACTTAACCCATCCACAACAATCCTTTGATAATGAGAAGTTAAAGTAACTTAGGGCGCAAGTAATCGGCTTAAATACACTCATTCTGCATTTGCCATATAGATATGGCAGTGGCACGCCTCAGCACTTAGTTAGTTTTGATTGCGAGCCTCACGGCCTACACCTAAGGCCTGACAAAGGCACATTTCAAAACTAACTCTATCATCTTCTTGCAGCCCGACAAGCAAGTGAGCCTGATAGCCAACCAAAGTGCCAACTCTTCGGGAAGCTGTGTGCTCGAGCCAGGGGCCATTCCTAGTGAAATTCTAGCCCGAACATAGTTTTGGCACACCTGATGGGATTCAAAGATATTGTATGCCAAGAAGACGAAGGAAAGAATAACCTTCTGGTGGAAAAAAACAAAAACCACCAAGATCTAGTATGGTAAATCTCCTCGAAGACTTGCAAGAATCCATCTTGACTGAAAGCCTGACCGCTTCTGAGAAATCAGGAGAAAAGGTCACAAATGAAGATTTACAGGCCAGTATAATGGTTGTGATAAAGAGTATGGAGAGGAACTCTCTACAAATAAAAGAGGAAGTAAGCAGGTTTTGTTCCTTAACAAAGATATCTGTAAAGGAGGTTGGATCTGGAGTACTCTACCCCATAAAATAATCGTGCTAAAGGAACCATGAAGGGAACCAGCCCGGTAGAGGAACCAGTTATTTCTTTATTTCCTTTATTGGAGGAAAAAAGGGGTAGAGAAAAGAACAAGGAAGAATTCGAAAGTAGTCGGCCAGTATTGAAGACAATCAAGGAGCCAGAGTTGCCTGACCCCGTGTTATTTTTATTGAATAACAAGAGGCAGTGCGGGTCAAAAATAAAGTGGTTACTGAAAGAACTACAGGCTAATGTGATGGTAAATGCAAACTCATTTCTGCAAGCCCCAATAAACATGATCAACCTAACATGGAAAGAGAAGGGAAAAGAAAAAGCTACCTGGGAGGTAAAAGTTGAAGGCTACAAGTTGATAGGCGCCCGAAAAGCCTAGAGTAGCAATAATCAAATGGGTGGTTTTGTGCAATAAATGTCAATGTGAGTGAGAGCTAAAAGTACCAGCGGTAGGGGCCATCCTTGATCAGGAATTAATCAAGAGAAGAGAGAGAGAAAAGCAAGAATCCCGTAGAAGTATCATGCGAGCAGCTGAGAAGGAAACCTCTTGAAACGTCTTCCAAAGGTTGGGAGGAGACTCTCAGCCTAAAAGCTTGTTAAAAGTATTCAGAAACTATGAAGCTTTAGAGGAAAGAGAGGACAATGAGGCCAATATACCAAGATAGATAGATGTAAGGCCACCCCAACCAAGTTATGACGGGGGTGATGTTAGAATGAAGGTAAGAATAGTAAAGTTGGTCACTAAGAAGAATCTTGCCCAACTCGGGTGGAGATGGTATGTGGTCGAAAGGGATGGAAGACCCGTTAAAGAAAGGGTAGTCTCCATGATCAGGAGGGTCCAAAGGCAACATAAGGCCCACATAAACTCATTGAAATTCCCTACCACTTCAGAGACCTCTGAAATGTAAAGATAGATATGGCACCTGATGAAGGAAGAAATTAACCTCGTTGGAGGAGTAAAAAAGAGGTAAAGAAGGCAAACAACAAAAATGAAGAAGAAGGAGATCATATACCGCCAAATCCCTATCTCGGGAAATACAGAATCTTGAGGAAAGCTCAAGAGGACATAATGATGATGCCTACCCCAATATGAAGCCCATAACCGATATGCTTTGGAACCATTTCACCTGAGAGAGAGTTGTCCACACCATTATTGATATATACTATTTGCGGAATTCCAGAACAACTGCTAAACTTTGGCATAGCCCAGGAAGAAAGGTTGCCCGAGCTAATGTTACCCGAGGAGGCACAGGCTTGTTTAGATGAGTTTATAAACCACATTGGGGGCAAGAAGAAAGATATACCTAGACCTGGCAACTTCCACGTGAACATGATATATGTTTTATCAACCATGTTTCACGCTGAACGTGATCAACCTCCCATGATGGAAGGTGATTACTTGGCGACGAAACCAATGATGGTGAATGTTAGTGTTGAGGAAGCAGGACAAGGAGAATCCAGCCATGCAGGATTGATCGAACAATCAATAAAAAAGCCTGAGAAGATATACTTGGACAAAATGGTCTTTGTTCGCCCGAATTTAACCCTGGCCAACCATTTCAAACCTATATATGTAATTGCGCACTTAGAAAGAGTACTCTTCAAGAGGGTCTTGATTGATGGAGGGGCCGCATTCAATGTGCTGCCATACAAACAAATGAAGAGAATGTGTAGGAGTGAAGAAGATCTTATCCCTATTGATCTTATAGTGTCTAGTTTCTCAGGGGCTATCACCAGAACGCATGGAATACTGCCATTAGAAGTGGACTTGGGTTCGAAACAAATCATGCTGGTCTTTTTTGTTGTGGACAATACTTCCACTTACAAGGCTTTACTGGGCAGGGATTGGACTCACCAGAGTCTCTCTGTACCATCTACCTTACACCAACAAGTGGCTGTCTACCATGAAGAAGAGGAATCAAGTTCGGGGTTCTGGGAGATGGTAGAGGCCGAATCATAGCCATTCATCCCTACAACCAATGTTGTAGAAGCTAACTTTTACAATCCTAGTGTTGGGATCATTCAATGTTTAGGAGCTGATAAGAATGACCGCTTAACTAAGGTGACGGCCCAAAAGCTTTTAGAGCAATAGATAGTTTTTACAAGGGAAGAATGAGACCGACCCCATATCATCCTAACTCCCCAACACCATTAATGTCATAACAAAAAAGGAAGGACCAAGTGGTTGCAATCAAGTCTTTAATAAAAAGATTGCTGGTGTATGAGAGGGAGAAAAAACAAGAAAGGGGAAGTTCGACTGAAGAAGAAAAGGGTTGGAGCATATAGGCCTCAGGTAGCCAAAGGAATAAGGAGGAGTTTTTTGGGAAGGAGTTAGAAGCATCCATCCAAATGGCTGAGTGTATATATGACTTGGATGGGCCAGAGGATTTGCCCGAAAATCCATAACTAGTTGAGTTTTTGTGTGCAGAGCTTGACAAATCAGCCCTAGAAGTACAAGACCCCTTGGAGACCATTGATTTGGGGACTAAGGGATATCCAAGACCTATACAGATTAGCGGTTTGTTGGAAGCCAAGGATAAGGCAAGGATTGTCGACCTTCTGCATGAATTTAAGGATTGTTTTACCTGGCATTACACCGTGTTTATACCATATTTAAGGCCTCATATTTAGACCTCGTATAAATACTTAGAGGACTTAAATGTAATTATGTAATAAAGGAAGGGGCAAATATGTAATTAGGGGAGGAGCCCTTATTCTATAAAAGGGCCTCCTCACCCTCACAAACCCTAAGTCTCTCATATCTAGAGCAAAGCTCTCACACTCTCTCCCTCACTTCTCAGAGAAATACAATACAATCAGTGTGGGCGTAACCCAAATCTTAGGGTGAACCACGATACATCTTGTGTTATTTACATTTCATATAGATTCACGATCGGATTTACGTTGTTCCAAGACCTCCGGTTTTGTGCATCAACATTTGGCGCTGTCTGTGGGAATAGTTATGTCGGTTCTCTTTCATTTTTTCACCTCCACCGTGAATTTGCACAACCCAAAAAACCACTGCCAGATGCAAATTTCAAAGCTTTTGGATACAAAAACCACTACCAAACGCAACCAGCAACATAAACAAATCAATCGCACCACTACCCAGATCACAAAGATGGAAACTTTCTCAGATTTTCAGAAGCAAGAAGTTGAGGAAGATGCCCTTTCCCTCTACGATTTCCCGCTGCATGACGACAATGACAAATCTTTCTCTCATGGCTAAATCTCAAAACACCTAGAGATGATGCACAGCTTCCATCCATATGCCGCTGCCTCGGCTTGCCTACACAACAATCTCTCAATATCTCTTCAATCTCTCTCAACGCGCTCAAAGAAAGGGCCTCTTCTTCGACACAAATGTGGTATTGTTTTGTTAGGTTCTGGAAATAAGTAGCAAAGATGATTTCAGAGAAACCCAGTTGGATTAGACATGAGGGAATGCAAATTTTCTCCATTGACGTTCAACCTAGTGGACTTAGGCTTGCCAAGGGTAGGGGTGATCACAAGGTGCGGGTGGGCTAATCATGGTAGGTTTCTTGCATTAGGATCTGATGACCAAATGATTTAGGGGGTTTCTGGTTCCCCGATCGTCCCCTTCCTCTCTTCTTTCATGTTGGCGAGACTTTCGATTTTTCAGATTTGGCAGTGGCACCACTAGCCACCAGCGACCCCGAGCGCACCGCCACCAGCCACTTCGTCGTCACCCATACCACCATCGACGACTCCACCTTCGGTAAGGAAACGACTCCGGCCACATCGAAAACTCCAGTTGCTTCTTCACGCTCAAGTTATGCAGCTTCGACCTCGACTGCCCGTACCTCACCATGAACCCCGCCACCAGGCTCAGATTAATCTTAAGATCAAATACCCATTGATGCCTTTCCCATGAGTTCTCCATGGCAGCCTCCACCAACACAGACAAAATCACTGTCATACACGCCTCTGGCGGTGCCTTTCCCATGAATCTGAACTTTCGGCGTCGTTTCTGACCATCTTTTCTAGATTGAGAAAAAGATGAAAGACAGGAGAGTGGGAGTGGCAGTGGATTTGTCGCCGGGCAGCAGGTCGACCCTGAAATGGGCAGTCGAGAACGTTGTCTGGAAAGGTGATCATCTTATCTTGGTTGTCGTCCAGCCTGAAGAGAACTACGAGCAGGAAGAGATGCAGATCTGTGGCGTCATCGGTTCACCTTTGATTCTTGTGAAGGAGTTTTTTGATCCCACTATCATGAAGAAGTATAGAGTGACGCCTGACGCTGAAACCATCGACATCGCCAACACAGCGGGGTGGGACCCACAAAGTCGTATCTGCCTAGGTCGAGGATTTGCAGCGAGCTCGACCCCAGCTCTGATGAAATTCCACAGTCATAAAGAAGTTCATCCCACGAGGGCCTCGATATTAGCAACAACTCATCCGAGCTGAATGATCTGTCTTTGGTGGAGACAATGAAGCCATCTTGGTGCGGTCCTGCAACCAGCCACCATGGCAGCAACCGCGTCTGATTCTGGCCGTCATCGAAAGCCAGTTACCAGTCAATCTTTTCGTCGTTGTCCCGGCTAATATCAAAGGAGAAGTCCATTGTAGGACTCCGGCGAGTTAGACTACAGAGTGGCCACATTTCAGGGAATACAGACTTTCAATGGCGGCCGGAAAAGCTATGCATGCCCTATGATTATAAGTTGAGATGGGCTAATCTCTTCCATGCATAGCTTTTGGCTTCTTCCCTCCGACAGCTTTCTTATACTTCATCACCAAATCCAAGCCTGCCCCAAAGCTCACCCTTTTCGAGTTCTACTTCTTTTTTGCCTTTGTGGGGACCACTAGTTTGATGATAAAAGCTCGTCCGTCCCCGTCACCCTCATCCCCGGATCTCCGATCATGTGCCACCCGTCTCGGCCGCCACCGGAAGATGAATAATCGTTCCAATTTACCAGTTCATTTCCCCCATCATTTCGCATGATAGCGCGACAAAGCTTCGAGACTGACCCAGTTGAAAAGTGACGGGGCTACCTAAAAGGGTTATGCTGACGCACAAAGGGTTGGGCTACCAAAAATTGATTCTTCCGTGATTGCAGATAAGACCCCTTTTTTCTTTATTATTTTGCTTTATCATTATTACTTCCCAAGCCGAGAATGATAAAACAAACCCACTACTCAATCAGTCTCGGAGATAATTGCAGAAAGCAGAAAAGCAAAAAACAAAAGTAAAGCAGAAGATGCCATCAACTTTTGAAAAAGAAATTTTTCATCATGGATGTTCCCACTTTTCTGAAGAAGTCACTAGAATACGCATATGGAAAAAGATCTGCAACAACCCAGTACGCAGTAGGTGCAATACGCACCAACGATTTGCAACTGTCGAAACCTTTGTTTTGAATGATGTAATTTATTTTTATTATCTTTCGGAGACATTTGTATAAACCCCATTAGAGGGTAATATGTATAAACCCTATCAGAGGGTAAAAAAAAAAATGCCCAAAATAAATGGGCTGACATGTTGTGGAGGACGAAGGCTCATAAGCCCAAAATAGCACCAACCAGGTGACCAAAAGTACGCCCAGTACTTCCAAAATTATTCGGCAACCTGCCGCTATTACCACCAACCAGGTGATGAAATGTACAACCGTACTCTAATATCATTTGGCAACTAGCCATTCATGCCACCAACCTGGTGATGAAATGTATAATCCGTACTCTACTTCATGCCACCAACCAGGTGATCAAAAGTACGCCCAGTACTTCAAATCATACATGAGCATTACTCATGTCAATCATACATAAACATTCATGAGCATTACTCATGTCAATCATACATAAACATTCATGAGCATCACTCATCCAATCATACATAAACATTCATGAGCATCACTCATGTCAACATCCATGAGCATCACTCATGTCAATCAGCTTCATAAGCTTCATTTACAAATGCTCTAGCTTCAAAAGCTTCATTTAAAGAGCTCTAGCTTCAAAAGCTTCATTTACAGAGCTCTAGCTTCAAAAGCGTCATTTACAAAGCTCTAGCTTCAAAAGCTTTATTTACAGAGCTCCAGCTTCAAAGTTTCACTTACAAAGCTTCACCTACAAAGCTTCAATGCAGGGTATACAAATACCACCTCCGAACAACCGCCACTTCGGCCCATACATGGATTCAATTTAAGTCTTCAGCCAACAGACTCTATTGACCCAAGACTTGGGGGACTACATTATGTACCATATATTGGGCCTCAACTGGACCTCATGAAAAATACTAGGGGGACTTAGCCCATTACTTATGTATTGAGGAGCGAGCCCTTATTCTATAAAATGGACTCCCTCACTTTCATTAGAGAGCACCCATTATTCATGTACTGAGGAGCGAGCCCTTATTTTATAAAAAGGACTCCCTCACCATCATTAGAGAGCAACGCTGCCAGCTGAGCAACCTCCTCGCCGCGAGCATCACTCCTAACCCATCACTTATGTATTGAGGAGCGATCCCTTATTCTATAAAATGGACTCCTTCACCACCATTAGAGAGCATCGCCGCCTACTGAGCAACCGCATCGCCGCGAGCATCAAACTCTAGCCCATCATTTATGTATTGAGGAACGAGCCCTTATTCTATAAAAGGGACCCCCTCACCATCATTAGAGAGCATCAACTCTAGCTCATCATTCATGTATTGAGAAGCGAGCCCTTATTTTATAAAAGGGAGTCCCTCACCTTCAAACGCCACAAGCCAAGCCAACCAAGGCAACATAAGCCACGAGCCGAGCAGCCTCGCAGCATGTGCTACTTCTAGTTAAGCATCAGTTCAAGACAACATCTAGTTACTTCGGCCCACATATGGACTGAATTTCAAGTCTCCAGCCAAAAGACTCTTTTAACTGAAGACTTGGGGGACTACTGTTTATACCATATTTAGGGCCTCGTATTTAGACCTTGTATAAATACTCAGAGGACTTAAATGTAATTATGTAATAAAGGAAGGGGCAAATATGTAATTAGGGGAGGAGCCCTTATTCTATAAAAGGGCCTTCTCACCCTTACAAACCCTAAGTCTCTCCTATCTAGAGCAAAGCTCTCACACTCTCTCCCTCACTTTTCAGAGAAATACAATACAATCAGTGTGGACGTAGCCCAAACCTTGGGGTGAACCACGATACATCTTGTGTTATTTACATTTCATGCAGATTCACGGTCGGATTTACATTGTTCCAAGACCTCCGGTTTTATGCATCAACACACCGAAATACCGGGTTTAGATCTAACCTTAGTAGAACACCGAATGCCTATTAAGGAGGGGTTCAAACCTGTCAAGCAAACACCATGAAGGATGTCAAAAGAGATCAAGGAAGGTCAAAGAAGAGATTGAGAGACTGGTAAAGGCCGGATTTATTAGGCCTGCCAAATATGTTGAGTGGTTGGCCAACATTGTACTTGTATTAAAAGTTATAACTAAAGCGGTTAGATGTTGTGTTGACTATAGAAACATCAATGGAGCCACGCCTAAAGATGAATACCCCATGCCCATGGCTGACCTATCCATAGATGCAATTGGCAAACACAAAGTTCTATATTTTATGGATGGAAATGCTGGATACAATCAGATAAAAATGGTTAAAGAAGATATACATAAAACAACTTTTAGATGCCCAGGTCATGTTGGGGCATATGAATATTTTGTAATGCCATTTGGGCTAAAAAATGCAGGTGCAATTTATCAAAGAGCAATGAACGCCATTTTTCATGACTTAATTGGCCATAGCATGGAAGTATATATTGATGATATTGTGGGTAAATCCAAGACTAAAGAACAACATTTAATAGATCTTAGACGAGCCTTAACAAGAATGAGTATCCACAAGCTAAAAATGAATCCAAAGAAGTGTGTTTTTGGGGTAAGATCGGGCAACTTTTTGGGATTCTTTGTTCATCAAAGGGGTGTAGAGGTTGTTAAGAACAAAGCTCGGGCAATCATGAAATCACCTCATCCTACCAATAAACTTCAACTTCAAAGGCTGCTGGCGAAAATCAACTTCTTGAGGAGATTCATTGCTAATTTAGTGGGCAAGATTTAGCCGTTAACTCCTCTGCTAAGACTAAAATACAAAGAAGAATTTGAGTGGGGCCCACCACACCAAAAGGCTTTCGATAGCATAAAAGCTTACTTAGCTTCTCCGTCAGTACTCATGCCACCTCAGAGAGGAAAGCCATTAAAACTTTATGTTTCTGCCTCAGAGAGATCAATTGGGAGCTTGCTAGACCAAAACAATGAAGATGGGAAGGAACAAGTCGTTTACTACCTCAGTAGAATCTTGACTGAGGTAGAAACAAGATATACTCCGGTGGAAAAGTTATGTTTAGCTTTGTACTTTACTGCTTGCAAGCTAAGGCATTATATGTTGCCTTGCTACATCCACATCATTGCCAAGACCGACGTAATCAAGTATATGCTTTCAAAACAAATGCTAACTGGGAGGATCGGAAAGTAGATCCTATCACTTTCAGAATACAGCTTCCAGTATGTACCTCAAAAAGTGATCAATGGGCAATCAATTGCAAACTTCTTGGCTGAACATCAAGAGTTTTAAAATGAGATTGTCAACATCCCAGTAACTCTGGAGGTAGCCAGTATATGGGTCCCGATAGAAAGGGCCCCAAGGGCAAGGAATAGTGGATCCAACAGGAGATAGAAAGAGTAATTGGCCTTTGGATCACTCCCTAGAAACCAAATTTTGATGGATCTTGTATTCAGAATGTTGCGGGAGCTGGGATTGTCATCATTGATCCCAAAGGCTCTTATCATTGTTATTCATTCCTCTTAGATTATCAAGAGACTACCAACAATCGGGCAGAATATAAAGCACTAATAATTGGCTTGAAGATTGTAATGGAATTGGGGGCAACCGAAGTAGAGGTGTTTGGCGACTCAGAATTGGTGATTAATCAGTTAAGTGGGAAATATAAATGGAGACACATCATTATGGCCGATTATTACCTGGCAGCCACTCAGCTGTTAGGCTATTGGGGCACTGAAATATCAATCGGCCACATCCCTAGGGAGTCAAATGCAATGGCCAATAAAATGGCCCAATTGTCTTCGGGAGCCCTGATTCGAGATGTGAGAGGGAAGTAGAGGTACAAAGGAGGAATCTCCCTTCTATCTTTGATAGAGGATTCAACTTAGATGTGATGGCCGAAGAACCCAAGATAGAAGATTGGAAATCCCTCATTATTCAATACCCGGAAGATCTTTCTTTTCCCACGAGTAAGAAGATTAGGCAACAAGCAACTAAATATGTATGGTGGGAAAAGAATATGCTAAGTAAGACCTTAGACGGATTGTTACTAAAATGCTTAGGCCAAGAAGAATCGATGAGAATCATGGCTGAAGTACATGAAGGAATCTGTGGAGCTTATCAAGTTGGGACCAAGAT